GAGTTCGAGGGAGTGAGGTGGGGGGAGGAGAGCAAGGGAGCTGGAATCTGTCCCAAGTTCGTCTCTCAGCTGAAGGGAGAGCTGTGGCCTCGCAAGGGGTTGTTGCTGCTCTGGGTTGGGATCTGGTCATCAGTAAATTTAAAAGCATCCTGGTGATTCTGATGTATCAGCAGAGCCTTGAGCTACAGGTCTACGTCAACCACAGACAAGAAACCTAGTCCCTTTTTCCTTGTCTGTTACATAATTGGATTGAAAATTATTGGATCTAATTTACCTTGAAAATTCATATGTCTGACTGACTCAAACTCCGGCAGTGAAGAGCTAGACAATGCTTTTCACCTTAATAAAGTGATAAAGAGTATAAAGATAATAGGAAGTTGGCTGCCAGTGCTGTTTATTGAGCAACTTTTTTCAGATCTATGGCTTTGACTGAGTAATCAGGGTGTGGAAGGATTGTGTTCCAAATCTCATTTTACCTCAGCATCCTGTGGGTCCTCTGGCTGGATGAGGGCCCTTCCACTGCAGCCCTGCATGAGGGCAGCTCTCCGTGTGATAGGGAAGAACGAATCTAACTCCATTTTAGGTCTGTCCCTTTAACTTTAACCTTTGCATTCGCTTGCTTTTGCTACAAGTTAATCAGGAAAGGGATGTTGCCTATAAGCTTTAATTATACATAATGACCCATCTCTGGGCACCCTGCCTCCCAGGTAATGAGCATTAAGCTAAGATACCTTTGTTTAGCTCACAGCAAACATCCTGACCAGATCCACCTGTGAATGGCTGCAGGAAATAAATTAACACATGCTCTCTGGAGGCTGATCAGAACCAGGACTTTACCTTCTCCCCTTTTAGTATAATAGAGTCTGAATTCTAACTTGGAAAAGATGGTTCTTTGGGGCACTAGTCCACCATCTTCTCGGTTAGCTGGCTTTCGGAATTAAGTCTCTATTCCTTGCCCCAGCAACTCATCTCTCTCGATTTATTGGCCTGTTGTGTGGCAAGCAGTACCAGCTTGGACTTGGTAACATCTGGTGCCCCCTGGTGATAGATCAATGAAGTGCCGTGTATTCCTCTTTGGAACCAGAGCTGAGTGGGCTAAGAAGGACCCTTGGAAGTCACCTTTTCTAACTTCTCTCATTTTACAGGCGAGGAACTGAGGCCCCCAGTGGTGACGTGGATTTCCCAGGCTCACACAACACGGTAACTGGGTTAAGTGGGGTTTAGCTGGGGTGCATTGTTCATGGATGGGAGACAGCGACTCAGGCTTCTGAGGTCCAAGGCTTGGAGATGAGAATCAGCTGGGGATGGTGAGTTAGAACAGCTCCTGGGGGCCACACACAAGGACCCCAGGTGACGGTTGGTGGCACTCACTGAGCCTGACAATCTGGAAACTTTTTGAGCTATAGACTTACAAGTCCCTCAGGCTATTCCTCAAACTGAATTGATTATATCCAGCCTCACTTTGTCTTCCTCTATTATGTTTCTTCTCAGTAGATGGCATCACCTGCTATCGGACTGATCAAGCTGGACAGCTAGTCACGTCTCTGTCATCCAATCCATTACTGAGTCCGTCTCTTAAATTTTGAAAAAATAACCAGTTTACTTATTTAGTTCCCATTTCCTACATCGGCTTCCTTGTCTTCCATATGGGGCTCTGTTTCCACCGAGAATCTGTACAGGTCAGCAGCACCTATGCTCCCAAACTCCTGTGCTGGTCTTCCCAGCTCATCAGTTCTACTTGGAGTCTTTGCTTGATCTACAACAAAGCAACTGTTTTTGCAAGTTAAGAAAGTGAAAAGACAACCTACAGAATGGGAGAAAATATTTGCAAATCATACATACGATAAGTGTTTATTATCCAGAATATAAAAACACCTACAACTTCACAGCAAAAAGACAAACAACCCAATTAAAAAATGGACAAAGGACTTGAATAGACATTTTTCCAAAAAAGATATACAAATGGCCAATTAGTGCGTGAAAAGATGCTAAGCATCTTTAGTTATTTGGGAAATGCAAGTCAGAATCATAACAAGATACTACTTCACACCTGCTACGATGGTGATAATCAAGAAGCAGAAAATAAGCGAGGATGTGGGTAGATTGAAACAGTTGTATGTTGTGGGTGAGAATGTAAAATGGTGCCGATGCTGTGAAAAACAGTTTAGCAGTTTCTCAAAAAGTTAAATATAGAATTACCACATGACCCAGCAATTCTTCTCCTTAGGTATTGAATAATTGGAACAATAATTGAAATAATTGAAAACAGGGACTCAAAAGAGATACTTGTACATCATTCTTCATTGCAGCATTATTCACAATAGCCAAAAGGTGGAAAAAGCCCAAGGGTGCATCAACAGATGAATAGGTCAACAGACTGTACCTACCAGAATATTATTTATGGCTGGAATATAATTCACCCATGTACAGGAAAACAGTTTTAATACATGCTCTGACAATGGGTGAACCTTGAAAACAGTATGCTAAGGGAAATAAGCCAGACACAAAAGGTCAAATATTGTATGAGTCCACTTACATGAAAAAATCTAGAAGAGGCAACTTCACGGAGACAGAAAGTAGATTGGAGGTTACCAGGGGTGCCAGAGCGGGAAGCTGTGAGGGAAATGGGGAGTGACTGTTTGTTGGGTACACAGTTTATGTTTAGGGTGATGCAAAAGTTTTGGGAATAGATAGCGGTGGTGGTCACACAAAATTGGGAATGTAATTAATGCTACTTCAAAGTCTTTAAAATGATTTGTGTTACCCATATTTTACCACAATAAAATGTTTCTCTTCAGTGTTTTAAAAGACTAAATGTAAAAACAGAAGAGCTAATACACAAATGTTGGCTGCACAATTTAATTAATTATAGCTGTATTGTACTCAGTGATACCCACCCAGAAAGGGGTCCAGCCTTGCCAAGCCTCTCCTACCTGCCTAGTGCTTCACAAACTCTCCCCTGGAGTCGTCAGAACAAACCCTGAACAGGTGTTACTCTGCCCATTTTACAGTTGGGAAAACAGACTGTTAAGCCTTGGCTCAAAGTTACCTATTTATGTAAACCCAGCTTTCAAATCTAAGTCTAACTGGCTCCAAATGGAGCCCAAGTGAGCCATCGTGACCTCATGGAGAACTCAGATGTTCTGCCACTTCTGTTACTTTGGAGCAGTAAGTGTAGTCTTTACTCCTGAATTATATTTTGGAAAAGTTCCTTTATCATAAGAGGATAAATTTGACTTGGCTTTCCATAATTTAACAGGGGGAGAAGATCTCTCTGAAGAAGGGTAGATTGTGAGCAAGGTCATATCTACGTCTGCTTTCTCACTGGGTTTGTTGAAACATCATCCTCCGGCACTGACTCTGAGTTGAGTTTTCTAGTTTATGGGGTTTATTTCAGTGCACAATGGCAGATTTATTAAACTGTGAATGCAGTTCTTTTTCAATGTATCAATAGTAATTCACCCATCTTTGAAGTTTGAACTTCGCTGAGAGAGAAGTTCTTGAATTTCCTTCATGTGACCAGAAGAGGTCGCTTTTTCACTATGAATATTTTTATGGTCCAAGGCAAATTCAAGAATATTGCTCTGACCAAAAATTATCCTTTTACTCTCTTTCTCTCTCTCTCTTTTGTCTCTTCGTTCCTCCTTCCCTCCCTCCGTCCACCCTTTTTCTATCCCTCGCCCATTATTTTAATCAGCATCAGATGTGATAGCAGGAGAGTGATGTTTCTGCTCGTCACATTCCCTGAACCTCTTTCCTACTGAGTACAGTACCGCCTAATGGCAAACTCCCCGAGTGAATGGACCAAATGGCAAAGACGTTTAACCTTCCCCTTTACTAGCTTTCATTTTTGTGTGTAAACAGTTGAACATCCATGTAGCTGAGGTTCAGTGTTCCTTTTTTTCACTGTCCTGGCCCCAGAGAGGGCAACGGTGGGAGTTGTTTAGAAAAATCCATTGTCGAATCGGGAAGCCTGAGATTCTGACATTTGATAGGTAAAACTCATTTTCTGCCTGGAGTTTAGCTTTCCAGAAGTTCTTTTGTTAAGGAATTCACAGGAAATTTAGGTTTTTTTTTTTTTTTTAACTGATTACGAATAAATTATTTTAGAAAAAATATTTCTTTTTTAGTTTTTTCACCCCAGTTTTTATCTTCTTTTCTCTTCCATATCTCCACCTGTGTTATTCAAGAGAGGTATCCACTTAAGGTTTCAGTTGGGAGTTTTAACAATCAAAATCAGATTTTATCAATTAGAAAAATTTGATTAAATATTAAAAAGAACTTTGGAGTGCAAGAAATAAGGGGGCCTGTGTGTGTGTGTGTGTGTGTGTGTGTGTGTGTTGGGAGGTGGGAAAGGTGTGTCGCAAATACAAATGTCCTCTATTTTAAATTACCTTGACGTGAGGAAAATTAATCATTTACTTTAAGTGTGAGGTGACCTAGAGCTCCAAAGAAATGTTGCCTGTCTGCAGAGGTGCTGCATCCCCAACTTGGTTGGTGAGACCTTCAGTGGACTTGGTCCTTGTGTCTTAGACTCCATAGTTTTTAAGGGCCTGAAATGTCCTGGGGACGAGGGGTTAGGAGGGAGACAATCTTCCTCTGTTGTAGTCAATATTATCCCTGCTTTTCCTTCAAACCAGCAAGGGGAGCCTGCCCACCAGGTGGGTTGCAACCAGATTTTCCTTTGCTTGTGTGACCTTGAGCCAGTCTCTTACTCTGTCAAGTTTCAGCTGTCCCAGTCACAAATGTACATGTGGAATTATGTTATCTGCTAGATTTTCCAAATGCAGTTTTAGGATTCCTACTGTCTTAATCTCTGAGGCAACATGATCTGACTCTGATTTACTATCCCAATTGTATTAGTCAGGGTTCTTCAGAGAAATGGAACTAATGGGAATTTTATATATATATATATATATATATATATATATATATAATCCCAAGGGATAACAGCACCAGGCCAGCAATGCCTAGAACCTACAGCTTCCCCAGGCTTTCTGCCCTGCCAGAAACAGGGACTTTGGAGAAAACCATAAAGAAGCAAAGCTGGAGTGAGAAGTTATAGGTCCCAGGCCAGCAGTAATTACAATATCTGTGTTTATTTTTCTCTTAGTTCTGGAAACCCTTTTGCCCATACTCTAAGACTTTATTTGGACAGGAGTGGGAAAAAGGAAGGTGAACCAATAAAATGAATGAACAAGAGCAGACCTTTGGAGCCCAACTTCCTGGATTTCAGTGCCAATTCTTCCATTTACGATCTAGGTGGGCAAGCTTTAAAAATTCTTTTTGTCATCATTTTCTCATCTCAAAAAATCGGATAAAAAGAACACCTGCCTTGTGGGATTGTTGAGAAAAGTAAATTATTTAAATTTGTATGTTTGTGTTTAATAAGTGACAGCTATCACCACAATAATGATTATTCTGGCCAACTTTTAACTATGCTTTTTAGGAGATCAGCTTCTTCCTTCCTACTTATGACCCATCAACAAGAGTGAGGGGTGTTCTTTTCTGTGAAAAACACTGTCCTGGGCCCCAGTTCCTGCCCTCACAGTATTCACTATCAAGTTGAAAGGTAAGCTCAACATATTAGTAAATTCTAAACAAATAGTCCAAGAGGAGGCTGCTGCAGGAATGTGTTTCAGAGGTCACAGGTCACACTTTTGGGTCTCCCGTGGTGGCTGTTTTGCTGATACCCCTTCAGAGAGGAAGAACAGTCATGGCCGGGGTGAACAAGAGCTGGGGTGAACCAATGCACTGGGTGTTATAGGCTGAAAACCACGCAACAAGATGGAAAAGGTGATTATACATGTAGAGTATATTGTATATAATTATAATACATATATTATACTATATAATATATATTATATGTATCTGATGAAGGATTATTATGTGTGATTTACAAATCAATAAGAGGAAAACCTCAAAACAAAAAATGGACATTTCAAATTGGTGATTCACTAAATGTGAAAGCTAAATGTCTAGTCAACATGAAAAGATGTTCGACCTCACTAGGAATGAGGGATACACAAATGAATTCCACAGTGAGATAATATTTTGCACCATCAGTTGAGCAAAAAATAAAGACAGATAATACCACGTGTGGATAAGGATCTGGAGAAATGGGAGTTATCAGTCATGATTGGTAGGATTGAGTCACTAGTAACTTGAGAGGGAAATTTGTCACTATTTACCAAATTTAAAGATTCTGTAGTCCTCAGCTCAGCCATTCCACTTCTAAGCATGGATGATATTTGACATACTTAACATCCCAGAGGGCAAGGCACCCACCAATAAGGATTTGCACCTTCTCCAATCAGAATGGAGGCTTCCTGTACCCAGTGGGTGTATGTTTCTTGCTAAAAACATGCTGAATATCAGCCCTGCTTCTGGGAATATTCCCTAGAAACTGTGCACAGTGGATACATGGAAAGATAAGTGTATAAGAATGTTTACTGCAACATCATTTGTAAAAAAAAAAAGTAATAAAGCAATCTAACTGTCCAGAAATGAGTGAATAAATACACATGTGTCTATTATCCAATAGAATACAGCAGTGAAAAGTGGATAAATCTCAGAAACCTAAAGTTTAGGGAAATAGCAATGGCAATGCTGTAAATAGAGTTTGAAAACAAAGCAATACTATATTTACATGTAATAACAGTTGAAAGCATGCATGGGAATGACCATCACCGTTCAGAATATTGGTTATTTCTGGGGAAGGAGAGAAAGGAGGGAGAGGGTGAGGGGGACTTCAACCTGATGACTTGTCTCTTAAGAAAAGATGAGGAACAAGCATGGAAGATGGTTAGGATTTGATCAACCCGGTGATTGGTCCCCAGATACTCAGTGTGCCATTCTTTCTATTCCGTGTGATGGAAGTATTTTACAGTGCAAATTTAAAAAGTCCACATAAACAAGATTATGAGCTGCAGATCAGTTTTCCATGGTCTCTGGGCGAGTGGCTTCTGCAATGCTGAGTTCTTTCTTGCTTTTCACCAGTGCCCTTCAGGAAAGATCCTTCCCCTTCCACCCTTACTCCCACCTGCCCGTCAGCTCAGCCCCTTTCCCTTTGCCAGTTTCACCCCTAGGATGAGGCTGAAATGCCATTTTGCGGCTCTTCAATCTCTAAGTGTGCTTCTGTGCTCACCTGTCCCACTCAGAGATCCCTGTTATCCAATGGCGCTGTACTTGAACTTGGGACATCATTACAGACGGCTCCAGAACATTGGTTATCACAACATTCTTCATTAACTTGAAAGTGTCAACCTCTCATCCTCAGCCAGGCTTCACAAACCTGCCTCGAAAGCAAATGGTGTTCTTTCTTGGCATCTTAACTAGGAGGCTCTGCAGTGCCCGTGGGCTGACCTCCGCCTGATGGATGCTGCCCATGTAAGATTGATGACTCCACTTGAAAGCCTGAGGCTTTGAAGGAAGCGACTGAACACAGGTGCTTCAATGAAAAAGGTGAGTACATCTGACAAGGCACATGCAAAAGCTCTGAGATGTGGCTGAAACACACTGATTTCTTCCAGAGATGACACTTTTCATGCTGCTTTCTGGTGTAACATTTAATGTATTCTGTCCTTTCCTTTGAATTGGGTTAGATTTAACGGTGCTCCCAGCCAAACAGAAAGGACCAACTGGAGTTCATTTCTTGACGGATCATAATTTAGAGATTCTGGCTTTGGGGCGATTGGAAATGGATACAAATTGATCACTGAGTTTCTGACTGGAGGAAGCAAATCTGAAGAAGGGACATTTATATTTGGGAACTCTCTTGACCCTTTCCCCAGTTCCTGGGGTAAGGTGAGAGAGCTGGGTGTGTGTTTGGGGCACCATGGTCTGGCAGATTGAACATGGGCTCTGAAGTTAGACCTGGTTTTGAACCTCGTTGTGTGGCTTTGGGTAATTTATTTAACCTTATCTAAGGGCTTTGATTCCCTCAATTACAAAGTGAGAGAGGGATGCCTTCCATTAAGAAGCTGAGTCAGCAATAAATAAGATGGTGGCTAGATGGCGGCCCGTGCAGTACGGGGTACCCGACTCATTCCTTCTTTTCGCCAACCCTCACCCATAGCTCAGACACTTCAAATCCCCGGGGTCCTGCAGTTGATATTCCCTTCCTTACTCATGCAAATCTGCTTGTAGGAAGGTTTTAACTGGGGGCAGGTGGGAGAGGGTAATGGAGGAGTGAGGCAGGGGGCTGCAGGGGAGTCTGTGTGGAGGTGGGGGGAAGGAGGCTGTGAGGGTCTTTCATGGTCATCACGAGTTACTGCCTGGTGTTACCCAGTTATCCAGTTTTTACAAAAGTTAATCTCTAGTTATGAAATCAAAAGCTCTCTTGATCCAGTTTCTGGGATGGTGGGAGTCGGGGACAGAGGGCTTTCCCAGCTCCGGAATCATACCCTAGCCTGTTTCCCTTGTCAAACACACCTGTAGTCAACCGCAATAAAAAAAAAGGGGAAGGCTACCCAGGCCTTTTTCAATCCACTTGGGAGCTAGCTGAGTAGAGGCAAAGCTTCACTGTTCTCCTATTGACGCAAAAAAGGCAATTGTCAGATTCACCAGTTGTGTTTTAATGGACTGAGTCCTGTTTTGGAACAAGAGCTGTTTGGTCTTTTGACTTTTCTTAGCCTCAGTTTCCTCATCTGTAACAAGGCAGGGTGTCATTCTGTCCCAGCCTACTACTGGGGATATGGAATGAGAAAGTAGATGAAAAAGCATTTGTAAACAAGAAAGTGCTATGTAAATCTCAAACGTCATTAGTACCCGTGCCTGCAGCCTTTACAGATGCTGCCTCCAGGGAAGAGGAATGTGAATTGGCCACTGCTTCCAGCAGGACGTGAGGCAATGTCCTTACCTAGTTAACCTCATGTTCAGTACATTCTGCTCTCTTTCATGTCAACAAATCGATTATTTTGTACAGCATCTCCCTGAAGGCCAGAAGAAGGGTTTAGAGATGCTGAGAGGAGTCAAATGTAATCACTGACTTCGAGCCAGAAAGACGGGATAACTCGGTGCCTTAGTAGTCAGAACTGGGGTGAAGTCATAGAAAACTGTACCACAAGTAAAATGAAGGTTTTGATTTGTTCTTTCACTTTTTCTTGGTCTAATTTTAAAGCCACAAATGATAGGCATTATTAGTCAAATGAATATTGGCTTTCAGAGTGTTCTCATGAAAACTTATCAGTTATGTTCTTGGGGTCCAGGGTGTTTTGAGCCCAGAATTTGTTAGTTGTAAGTGAAAGAAAGTTAATCAACTCAAACTAATGAAAAAAGGACATGTTTACCTCACTTCACTGGAAAGCTCAAGGGTAGATAAGCTGGATTCAGGGGCTGCAAGTTTGTCTCAGGGCTTAACCTAGTTTTCTCTCATCCCAGCTCATCTCTTTTCTGTGCTGGTTGATCTCAGCCCCATGTTTCCCTGTGGTCCCAAGATGACTCTCAGGATCCCCATCCAATCACCCATTGCATTGAAAGACAGACAATTGCCTTATACAGTCCCTTACAGGCAGACAATGCGAAACCATGGATGATAACCTCATCAGTGTCTCCAGGGAAACTTAGGTCCCTGTAAGGACGCAAAACTCATAATTCTGCTGCATGTAGAGTTGCACGTTTCATTTATAGTAAATTTAATTTTCTCCCATCTCTGGCTGGTTACCATTTCCTGAGAACTGCTCATTTCACCGAATGAAAGATAATTCACAGCTCACGTGTTTACACCAGGGCATGTAAGGCCACATTGCGGGGGAGCAGGTCACGTGCATTTTATTTTCATTCAGCCACTTAGTGCTTGGCCCACCTGCACTGACTTTGGCATCATCACTCTCGCTGCTTCTCCCAGCTCCCAGGGGTTCTACGGTAATTAGCAAGAGCACCTGGAAAGCTCTAGGCGCTCCTTAAAAAATCGAAGTGCCACGTGATGTTACTCTGCGACTAGAAAGGATGGTGGATAACAAGGCGGGCTGATGCAGGTCTCTCGTGCACCCTCCATCACTGGGAATCAGCCCCTTCGTCACAGTGGATGGAAAGCTTCACACTTAGTCTGCAGTATTTGGGTGAGTGAGGTCCCATGGTGAGAGCTTTGCATGGTCCTGGGTGTGCACAGTCAGCTCAGATGGGTGAATGCGGAATTAGTTTCCCTTCAGTGGCATCGTCTGTGCCGTGCTCCCAGAAGAAACTCAGGGCCGTGGTTCACTCTTCCCACCATCTTTTTGCCTAAGTGAAAGTTATCAAACCCGCCAGTGCCCCTTCCACGTGGACCGCAGAAGTCTCAATCTGTCTCTCTGTTGCCTCCGCCTCCCTTCTCATTATCGTCACAGGATTATCTTCTGGAAACGTGTACATATGTCGTTCCTCAGCGGCTAACTCTCTCCCTGCTCGCCTCAAAGCTACCGAATAACAGCCCAACTCTGCAACCTGGCTCTGAACACCCTCCTAGGTCTGGGAGTTACCTACCTCTTAAAAAACTCTTTTTCTTGTCTCCTTAATGATCCCTCTACTCTCCCATATGATTCGGCTTTCTGCTACTTTGAATGACCTTCACTAACTGTGTGTCAGCTTCCTTACTTGTGTAATAAGGTAACGATGATTATCTCCCCTGGACACGGTGGTAGATTAAAGGGAATATTTTATAGAAAGAGGCTAGGATGGTGCCTGGCACATTCATGGGATATCAGAATGCTGGTTGTTATTATTATAATCTCTCCTTCCTGGCTCAGCCTGAGAACTGTTTCTTTTCTGATGCCGTTCCCAGTCCTTGGTCTTGAGGGATTTTTCCTTCCACTGAAATCCCAAAGTGCTGTCTCCACATCATAATTTGGTATTATGTAAAAATTATCATGTATTTAGAGTTTGTATCAAGTCCAATTTTACATGTCTTTCTGATTTGCTAAGCTTCAGATTCCCTTGTGTTATATCTTTATTTTTCTTTTCAATATGTCTCAGACTACAACTTCCTCTGTGGTAAGCGCTCTCTGGGTAGCTGCCGGCTGGCCTCGAAGGCCCTGGCTCACCTCGGCCACGGCTATGCAGCATGGCTATTGTGACTACCATTGTGCTCATGGAAGCAAGAGCCAGGGCAGGTCCAGGGCTCAAGGGATGCAGAGACGGCCTGTGGCCAAGAAGGGACAAGGTGGAGGTACAGCCTAGTTTTCCTGGGGAAGAGTTGTCTGAAATAGTTTGCTGAGGCCCTGAATGCAGTCACTAAAGAGTTAGGCCAGGATGCTTTGAGGTTCAGAGCCCCTACCCAAGTCTGTCCTGCAAAGGTGGCTCTAGAGACAGAGGGTCAGTGGTTTTGGCTTTGGAGCTGGCCAAGACCAGACTCATAAGGCACTACTCTGTTCTGAGCCGACCACTTCAGAACTGAGATGAAGGGCCATAACTAGGGTGTTAGAACTGGCTCCCTAGTGGCTGCTCAGAGGGGCCAGGTCACACAACTTGGGTGAACTTGGGCCAAAAAGAGGCAGGAGACAGGAATGAGCCTGCAGATAAATTGTTCTCCTTCCCTCTCCCATTTGGTTCTTGGGTCCCAGTTTCCAGGCAGCATCTGGAGACAGTCCATGCGAGTGGGCAGAATGTACTTTATGGGTAAGGGTCCACCTTCTATTTGCTATGCTTTCTACTCTGCTATCCTTTCCCCCTCACTCTGGCTTCCAACGCATTGCACTCCCCAAGTAAACAGGCTGCAGGTGTTGCCTGTTTGTTTCCTAGGGCACCCTGCCAAGAAAACGTTACTCTGTTGTCTTTCTCTTCTCTCCTAGCCTCTCCTCTCCTCTCCTCTGTTCTTCTTGACTCCTTTGTTCTCCTCTGTCCCTTTTCTTTTGTTTCAAATAAGATCATAGTAGTTTTTCGGGGGAGGAGTCCCAATGCTTCTTCATCTTTGGGGCTAATGCCCTAAGGAATCATGGGGGCAGTAGCTTTCTGAGCGGGATTCAGGATGCTGATCTTAATAAAATAAACGTGGGTGCACTCAATTTTAAGTAATCCCTTGTATGTACATGCATTCACATTCATATTTGCCCAAAAGATTAAATGGGAGAGTCATTATTTTCTTTACCAAAGAGTTCACATAAACTTCTATCACACATAGATAATGATTTGATTCATCACTTTCAGCTGGCAATGAACTTTGCAGTTGTAATCCTAGTGTAAGAGGCCATGAGGAGGCTGGCCATTGCTGAGAGCTGCTGCTCTGAAGTGAAGACAGATCCACTCTTGCTATTCTTCCCTGAAAGTTGGGGGTAGTGCTGGCTTTCCTTTGCTCTCTCATTGCCTCTATAGTGGGGGAAATGCTAAATACTCTATCTAAAAACCCTCCATCTCAGCACTGGGGTCCTTCACAAATGTCTGACATGGCTACGTAGCCACTCGTGTGTGTGTGTGTGTGTGTGTGTGTGTGTGTGTGTGTATGTGAGGGGGTGGGGCTGGTAAGTAGAATAATGGTCTCCTGAAATATCTAC